TAAAGTGTGCACGCTCAGAGGTGGGGAGGTGGCGACGCACAGCAAGACGTGCAGCAGCATCGCGTGTGGCCCACTTGGAGCGAACAGTGGGGTCAGCATCAGCAGCAGGGCAGGGACGGCGCCAGAGGTAAGGTCAAAGAGAGAAATGTCATCTACCCTATCGCACTGCAAGTACAGCTGCAGGTCGTCGACCCAGACCTCAAAGTCAATGGCACGACCCTCAGCGTCAAAAGCTAGGACACTAGGGGTAGCCATGACGACAGACGCCTAGCAGTGCAAGCAGTAGGGTGAGGGTAGTGCAGCGAAAAGGGCTCTGTGCTCACCAGACAGGGCAGAACAGGAAGTAAGGCAGCTTGGTGGCCGCCGGCTCGACTGCTGGGCGGCTCGGCTGCTGGGCGGTTCGGCTGCTCGGCGGCTCGGCTGCTGGGCGGCTCGGCGGCTGGGCGGCTCGACTGCTGGGCGGCTCGACTGCTGGGTGGCTCGGCTGCTCGGCGGCTCGGCTGCTGGGCGGCTCGGCGGCTCGGCTGCTCGGCTGCTGGGCGGCTCGGCGGCTCGGCGGCTCGGCTGCTGGGCGGCTCGGCGGCGCAGCGGCTCGGTTGCTGGGCGACCCGGCGGTCGGGCGGCTCGGCGACGCTGGTTCAGGGCGGCGTGGCGGCCGTGGGTAGGACGGCGGGTGGGCCGCAGGTAGGGCGGCAGGCGTGCCGCAGGAAGGGCGGCGGGCGTGCCGCAGGTAGGGCGGCAGGCGAGCCGCAGGTAGGGCGGCGGGCGTGCCGCAGTGTAGGGCGGCCGCCGGGCCGCAATGTAGGGCGGCGGGCGGGCCGCGACGTAGGGCGGCGGGCGGGCCGCGACGTAGGGCGGCGGGCGGGCCGCGACGTAGGGCGGCGGGTGGGCCGCAGGTAGGACGGCGGGCAGGCCGCGACGTAGGGCGGCGGGCGGGCCGCGACGTAGGGCGGCGGGTGGGCCGCAGGTGGGGCGGCGGGCAGGCCGCGACGCAGGGCGGCGGGCGGGCCGTCGACGTAGGGCGGTGGGGCCGCGACGTAGGGCGGCGGGGCCGCGACGTAGGGCGGCGGGCGGGCCGCAACGTAGGGTGGCGGGCGGGCCGCGACGTAGGGCGGCGGGGCCGTCGAAAGGCAGGGCGGCGGGGCCGTCAGCTAGGGCGGCTCGGCGCGACCTGAAGGGCGGCGCGACGGGCCGCTAGGAGGCGACCCGACGGGTCGCTAAAAAAAAAAAGAAATAAAAAAAAAGGAGAGCGCGACTCGAGGCGCGCTTCGGTGGGCCCTAGGAACAGTCCCTAGGAGGGGGCCTGCTCTGATTCCATGAGAAAATGAGAACGAGAGAATGAATCAACTATGAATGAAGTAAGTACATATAGGAAACCCTGATTGGGTTGTACCCCCTATGGGATACCCCACTATAGCCTACACAAATATATGTAAGCTATAATGTTCTGACAGTCCCCATATTACCCGGTACCCCTTTAATTTCTGACTCTCCCTTAATAGAGGCTTGAAAACCACGATAAGTAATATTCCCACTTGTCGAGGTGTACGGTTGGAGTTTCCCAGTCGATGCAGAGTCTTGATTCGCGGAGACTCCATTTGTCTCGGCGATTTCCCCTGGTGCCGGCTGGTCATGACGTTTTAAATTCGCGCCACTGTATTCTCCTTTTTTCGCCCTCTCCGAAGTTGCCATGTTGTCTGTTTTCTGCTTTGAGGGTGCCACACTGTTCTTGTCCCTCAGCTCCGCACGTAATTTCTTCATTTTCCAACACGCCAAGATATGATGTCCTGTAGCGCTGCAAAACTCGCACGTCGCATTCGTTGCTAGCCGTTGCATCGCATCCCCCTTGTCGTTCTCCATCGGGTCGGCAGTCGTGGGTGATGCCAATCGCTCCATGCCACTATTTGGCTGGTTGCGTCGTGTTCCGTAGTAGCTACTGTTCAACGCGTCGAACTGTCCGATCAGTGCTGCCCGAAACTGCGCCCACGTCTCTTCGCCTTGGACAAATCTATTGCTAATCCACTCTAGAGCTGGGCCTTGTAACAGTGTTGCTGCGAGCCGTATGCGCAATGCGTCTTGGTTGAGGGTCGTGCATCCAACGGCTTCGAATAATTTTTCTAGTACAACTATAAATCGTCGCTCCCTTTCGCTTTAGGATCGAGCGCGTCTGGTCGCCTCGGCTTTACTGCTTCGAGATTAAATGTAGTTGCTGCCGTTGTCGCAGGTACAACTATCAGTGTCGCCGCCGTCGCTGCTGCTGCTGCTGCGGCTACTGATTGGTTCGCAAGGAGTTTTTCGAGTCGTGGGAGCGCCGCAAATATCTGCTTATGCTCAGGTGGTAACTCCGCGATTTTTTCTATAAAGAAATCTCTATTTCCCTCCCTTTTGGCGATATACAAAAAGATGCGCGAAGAAAATAATTGAATTCTGGGTGTTGTTCGACTTACTGCGAGTCGAATTGACTGTAGAATCAACGAGCGCGAATTCTGTAGGTCGCGTAAATCTCCCGTAGCTGAAATTCGCGTCCGATCTCGGCCGTTGAGGAGAAACTCGATCTGACGGTTGAAATTCCAACCCTTTTGGGCGAAATTCTCTAGGCCGTTGAGATTGAAATCAATCTGACGGTCGAAATTCCAACTTTTTCACCAAAATTCCTGAGGGGTGTTCAAAACCGAATCGAGGGGGACTTAGAAAAATTGCGCGGAACTAGTTTTTACATACCCGTATCGGCGCTTTCGTCGTCGCCCCCGCGGTTTTTAAAAGCCGGAACCAAGCGGTTGAAGACCTCGCGTGTAAACCCGCTCTGATACCAAGTGTGAGGATCTGGATCAGGAAAGATAATTCTATTGAATGATTCACCTGGGTACAAGGCGAGGCTATATATAGGCTCGACACAAAGGCAGTAACCCGGGTGTTACTAGAAGGTTCCGCGGGTCGCAAAGCGTCCCGAACGGGTCCTTTCCGAATTTGGCAGAAGGCAATTCGGTGGCAATCTAAAAGCCTAGAATTCGGTGCACTCAACCTAGTCCGGTGCCTATAACTATAATAATATAGTAAAAGCAACGAACCTAGGAAATTTAGCAAAAGCAAGCAAAACAAAATAAAGCTCAGCTAGATAATGCATGATAAAGCAGAATCAAGCTAGGAAATCATAGCAAAGCTGTCGTACTCTCACACCTTGAATCTCGACAACCCTGTCCAGTTCGCCGAAATATTACAGGCCGCCCGGAACGGAGCAGCAGATCCTATAAAAAAATCCTACATCATCGCTAAGCGCAACGCCAATCACCATCGCCGCCCTGTCACTTACCAACCCAACGACCTCGTGTTACTCGACACCCGAAACCTCCGCCTGCCCATCACTCCGAAACTTGGCCCACAATATTGCTAGCCATTCTGAATTAGTCATATGATCACACCTGTCACTGCCCACCTCCTCCTCCATGAGAAGAATAGAACGAGAATGGATTGGACTATGAACGAAGTGAGTACAAATGGGAAACCCTAATTGGGTTGTACCCCCTATGGGATACCCCACTATAGCCTACATAAGAAAGTAAGCTATAATGTTCTGACACACCCCCATAGACAAAGTGGGGGAGAACAAGGGGTCACAAGACCAGTCAAGCAAAGCAAGGCAAAGCTCAGGGTGGATCACAAAGTCACCACACATTCCGAGCACAAGTTCAAAGGCCAGGAGGCCAGTTCACAAGCAAGATCACATATAGGTATACAAAAGGCTAAGCAAGCAAGAGCAAGAGTATATATATGTGACAGTACAAGCAAGGTCAAGAAGTAAGCAAGTGAGGCAAGACAGGCACAAGCCCCAACTGAGTGCAGAAGCGCTGATGATCACAAGGCGCAAGTGCCTTGGTGAAGACATCAGCAGTGTTGGCCTCAGAGGCCACGTACGCAAGCCGCAACTGTCCACGCTGCTGCAGCTCACGCGCAAGAAAGTAGCGGAGAGCAATGTGCTTTGTCCTGTGCTCCAGACGCTGCTCTTGACACAAGGCCAGCATGGCCTTGTTGTCCACGTACAAGACTGGAGGAGAACGAGGCGGCTCTCCAAGGTCGGTCAGCAGGTAGGTGAGCCAGCGAAGCTCCTGTGCAGCCATAGCCCCGGCGTAGATCTCAGCCTCACAACTAGAGCCAAGAACAGAAGACGAGCGGGTAGCCCGCCACGAAACAGAGCCGGAACCAAGACTGAAAGTGTAACCCTGTGACGACCGCTGCGTAGCCTGGTCGTCAGCCCAAGAAGCGTCCGCGTGCCCAGTGAGGACCACTTGACTGCGCCCTCCAAGCACTAGCCCCATGCCCGACGTACTGCACAAGTAGCGCAACACCCTCTTCGCTGCAGCCATGTGCTCTGGACGGTGTCTCCCAGGAGCAACATAGCGTGCAAGAATGCTAAGAGGGTATGCAAGGTCAGGTCGTGTGCAGGTCATCAGGTACATGAGGCAGCCGACAAGCTCTGGATACGGGCCACTCGACTCTACGGACTCATCCGAAGGCAGAGCTGAGAGCGAGTGGCGAGTAGGCAGAGGAGTGGCCTGAGGCGAGGAGTACGTGAAGCCGAAGCGCTGAAGGACCTGCTGCACCATGTGTGACTGACTCAGGGTGATGGTGCGGCGTGCTCTGTCCCGGGTGATCTGCAAGCTAAGGTAGCTGCGCAGCTCACCTAGGTCAGTGCACGTCAGAGCTGACGTTTCAAAAAAACCTACTCTGAGAGCAGGTAAAAAAAATTCCAGTCTAGTCTGAAGCACATTTTCCCCAACTTCCTTGAGTCTGATTTCACAGGATTGGTTCAGGGTTTAGTCTGAGGTGGTCATTATTCAAATTCTAAAATCAGACTTAAATAAAACTAAGTTAAAATGTCCTGGCATGGCAATCATCCATTGAGTCTCAGATCAGATGCATCCTTCCTTCCTCCTACCTACAGCTATCACCTACCTACAGCAATCACCTACCTACCTACCTACAGCTACAAATAATCTTAGGTCTCACTCAGGCTGATCCATGCCTATCTCCTCCACATCCTCCTCCTCCTCATCCTCCTCGCGGAAAGGGTCGTCGTCCAGCTCCTGGTCCTCCTCCTCCTCATAGGCCTCCTCCTCATCGTCGTCCGCATCCGACTCATCACGATCCCACTCCAGCCCGCGCACAACCCTCTCACGTTCCTGGTCGTCCGCCAGCTCCTTCCCCTTGCGCTTCCTCTCTGCTGCAGCGAAGGTTGGAGTCTTGGCAGGGCGCCTTGGCTTCTCCTCACGCCATTTGGCGAGGGCCGCGTTCCAGTCGATCTCGTAGTCAAGTAGGGAAATCGTCATCAACTCCGCCAGGCGCGCGTTGCCTAAAGAGCCTCTCACCCAGGTCTTGATGACGTTCTGGCGTGAGAATCCACGCTCGCATTCAACGGTTGACAGCGGCATCACGGCAGCGGCTTGCCACAGCCACATGATGTTGGGCCAGCGCCTGAAAATATCACACACGAGCATTAACATACCGGTTAGCAGAATGTCACAATTGCGTGAGAGAAACACAGCTAGCCCCGCCACATCGTATTACATACCTGGCGGACTCAGCTACACCCATGAAATTCTTCAGCCCTTGAAAAAACCCCTCATCCTCGTGGTGCGACGCCATGATTGGAGCCCACGAGCCAAGCTCCATCTCGGCTGCTCGCAGGTCGAAGCCAGGGAGCTTGTTGTCGAAGATAGCAGCGCATCCGTGTAGGTACTCTCGCGTCTTGCGGTCGCGCTGCTGCCGAGGCTTGGGCCACTTGGCTGCTCGAAAGAGCTTCGTTGGTGCTAGCTTGCGTAGATCAGCAAGGCGGAAGTTCAGCCGGTTCACACACTCTTGAGCGAATTTCGTGCACAGCTTCGCGCACTCCGTGTACGTGCTGCCGTAAGCGTGCCCCTTAATCTTCCTCTCATGAAGCTTGTACTTGTGCGTCACTGCTTCACCTTCGCTGTCAACTCCGCGCACCTTCACCTTCTTCTTCGGAACCTTCCCGTGCAATGTCAGGAACTCAGACAGTGCCGGGCTTTCTCCGCCGCCCAACAAGTCCTCGCACTCCAGGTAGCGCCTGCGCAAGTCCCCGGTGGCCTCGTCAATGTCCTTGGCGATCTCGGTCACGTCGACCTGATTCGGATGGGGAGGTGTGCAAGACATGTTAGTAACGGTTTAGAACAGAGGTGGTTTAGGATACAAGGGAACAATGCGGTCAACCTTACCTCACGCTTCTGAAACTTCACGTTGAGCTCGTTCATGATGCCAAGCACATCTGCAAGAAAGAAAAGGCAGAACTGAAACTTATACGAGGTGACGGTCTCGTACAACTTGTGCTTGCTCTCATGCAAGAGCACGATCGATGCACCGAGGACCTTGCAGAAACGACGGACAGCCACACCGCGCGATAGCCACCTGACCGCGTGGATGCCTTGAACTTCAAGGTTGGTTTTGTGAATCGTGCGCTGCAGGTACTGAAAGCGCTGGCTGACGTTGCTGGAGTTCGTCAGTAGAGATGCCACAGCCCGAATCACTCTGTCAATCATGTCCAGATCTGGGCATGCAAGGGCAGCGTCCTTAACTGCTAACGCCTCCCTGCACAAGCACATTCAAAAGAGGTAATCGGTTAGTAAAGCGTACAAGGTACATGTTCATGGGCAATATAGATAACCGTGGAACCAACTAACCTGTGCGCGATACAATGTGAGGAGATCAGGTGAGGGATGTACTCCCGTAGACGAGGGACCAGGCCGTTGTCACACCCAACCATCACCGATGCACCGTCGGTGCTGATAGCGCAGATGCGGTTGATGTCCACTCCGACAGTCTGCAGATGACTCATGATGACTGAAAGCAGGGACGCCGCGTCACCCTTCTCAACAGGTAGGTGTGCAAAGAACTCAGTAACGGGCCGGTTGAAGCGAAGGAACGTTAAGTAGATGATGAGGTGTTTCCCTCGCGTGCGATCCGTGCTCTCGTCGCAGCTGATGCCCAAAAACGGAGAGCTCTGGATGTGTCGCAGCTGAGTTGAGAGAAGCAGAGACGAAAGGCAGTGCACCATCTCTTGGAACCCGTAACTGCATGGAAACAGTGCCACATAAATGCGTTAGTATTTGAAGTAGTGAGTACTTGATTAACTCGAAGGCACACGCGGTACTCACCGAGTAAGATACACGCCGTACGCCTGCCTTGGAATGTCCGGCGTGTCCTGCTCAGACATGAAACGTAGGAGGCGAGCGAACATCGAGATTGGAGCATCGACCTTACAGATGAACTCAGTGGCACGCAGAAGGCGAATCACCCTCCGCCCTTCCACGTCCCTCGTTGTGAAATCGTCGATCTTCTTCTGCTTGCCGTCCAGCGACTCTTCGATCTCCAACTGCCGCTCCACTGCCTCTTTGTGGACGTTGGAGTGCTCGTGTATCCGCATCGTCTGCGTTTGTAAGTCGCGCGCTCCGTCGCCAGGGCCTGAATACTTGGTGGTCTCCTTGCCAAAGGCACGGCAGATGCAGCACTTGAGCGAGGGATGCCCATCCTGGGCACGCACAAGCAGAAGCCATGGGAAAAACGGAAGCCACTTCGAGTGGTAATTCGCCTCAGCCAGAAGCCACTTCTGCTCAATCTCCTCCTTCTTAGACAACTTAGGAGGAGGTGGCTTGTCGGGCGTGGCCACAGCCGGCGCTGAAGGGGGTGGAGATGGTTTGCGGAATCTACCGCCAGTAACCATCGTGCTCTGAACCCATTTCTGGGTACTACGCTTCTGCGCAACTGATTTGGTGACTGACGGCACGCTGTACCGAACGGTAGATGCAGTGCGCACGGTGAGTGGGATGGGGCCCTTACTAGACGACGCTATGGCGGGCGCTAAGACTATTGGAGTTGGCGTAGGGGAGGCAGGCGTGGTGGCAGGAACAGTATCGTGTATGACCGCCGTTGCTGCGGGGCGTAGGCAGTCTAGCCCCGACCTACCCACACCCTCCTTGGTAGTAGGGTGGTCAGCATCAGGTGAATCGGGCCGGTCGCGTTCTTGGTCCGTCATGGGAGGAGTCACTCGAGCACTAACTGGAACACTGCTGGGAGAGCCAGCCGAGGAAACATAGTCAGCGTGGTGAAGGGAGCTATGAAGAAGAAGGACCCCGTGGTCCTCAAACCAATTGATGGGTGGCTGGCGGTTGCCGTTGGTCTCGAGCCGCCATGCCCGTCACCTCTGCAGTGCTGTACCGTGCAGGACAGAGCGCGTAGTGATGGCACGGTGCAACTTTCCCGCTGACACAGCGTTGCAGAGATATCACGGTTGCCACGTGCAGCGTGGCACAGGGGGCACCGAGTCGGTCAAGGGGTGGCAAATTTGCCAAGTTCAGATTTCGCATGTGACAGCAAGGAGATTGTCATGATGGCACGGCAACATGTGACGTTGCGGAAGCTTCCTAGTACGTACATATCCGGTTTCCAGGATCCGTACGCTACTTAGTCTGAGGGATCATTATTGGCATAGGCAATACTCTGAAATTCTCAGTATTCGGAAAACCACAACTCTGAGGTGCTCATTATTGGAAAATCACCAAGTCTGGAAAATCAGGAACCATTGAAAAATAGTCTGTCAGATCAGACAATCAGACCATTTTAGTCTGATAAAATCAGCCCTGGTGCACGTGTGTCTCTTCTGCAGCTCGGACTTCACGTAGGCGAGTCCAGCAGTGTCAGCAGTGGCAAAGACCAAGTCGTCGACGTACACGAGGATGTAGAACGGCGGCAGAGAAGTGTCGGTGCGCAGAAACAGCGACGGGTCTGCAGTGGAAGGAGCAAACCCAAGTGCCGCCATCGTAGTCCTCAGTGTGTCGTGCCACTCACGCGGTGCCTGGCGAAGACCGTAGACTGGACGCCGGAGACTCCACTGGGTACCAGGAGGGAAAGGCCCAGTGAAGCCAGGTGGGCGACGCAGCCAGATCTCCTCGTGCAGGCTGCCCGGCAAGAAAGCAGTGCTGAAGTCGAGAGAGTGCAGCTCGTAGTCACGGTGAGCAGCAACGTGCAGCAGTACCCGAAGAGTGGTCATCTTCGGGGTGGGGGAGAAGGTCTGAAAGTAGTCAACTCCCTGCCGCTGACTGAAGCCACGAGCCACGTAACGCGCCTTGAAGACAGGCGGAGAACCCGGCGGCCGCTTCACCCTGAAAATCCACATGCCACTGACGATGTTCGCCCCAGGAGGGGGGACAGCGTCAACGTAGGTGCCTGTGGACTTCCAGGAAGCCATCTCTGCATCCATAGCTGCCTGCCACTGAGAGGAGTAGGGACCCTCTATCGCCTCCGCGTAAGAGCGCGGAGTCGGGATGTCTAGTGCATCCGGGTCTCCCTCAGGGGTGAGCAGTACAGACGCGAGATGAGGTGAAGCGGCGGCCAGACACTGAAACTCCTCCTGCCTGTCCTCTAGGACGTCCGTGCCAAGGGCACACTCACCCCCGACGGACGGAGGACAGGCAGACTCAGACTCAGTGACAAGACTAGCAGCGAAGTCGAGACGACAGCGCGCAGCAAAGTCGACGAGCTCAGTAACAAGGGCAGACGCAGCAGAAGACTCGAAAGAAGGGTCAGTGACTGCAGTAGCAAGGAGACGCGTGACAGTAGGACTGGCAGCACGAAGAGAGTCCGACTCCGGGTCGGGAAGAGCAGGAAGAGAGGAAGCAGGAGGAGAAGGCAAAGGGGCACGTAGAGGAGCAGTGGACGGACGCAGAGACATCCGGTGCGTGCCAGGGACAGGAGGAGGACGCTGACGCGAACCGCGACCACTAGTGCGCTCAGCACGAACAGGCGACGCAGGACGTGACACAGGCTCACGACGCTCAGTAAGACCTCCAGTCGGACCAGTGTAGGGAGAAGGAGCAGGCAAAGGGGAGGCAGGCTGTAGCTGTGACTGTGACTGGACAGGCTGTGGACCCTCTAAGGGAGGAGGAGGAGGACCAGGAGAAGGTGTAAGACCAAGAACCTGCTGCAGGAGTGGAACGAAGTACGGTCGGGGCCGCGTGGCGATGCCAGAAACAGCAGGGACAGCACCAGTACCCCCAGCCGGAATACCCGCTCCAGCAGCACCTCCTGTAGCTCCAGAACCCCTAGCAGCACCTCCAGCAGCTTCAGAACCTCCAGCAGCACCAGGAGCACTGCCAGTCGGACCGCCAGCGGTAGTCTCAGCGCCAACACGCTCAGCAGCACCAGCTCCAGGAGAACCCGGAGGCCCAGCAGCTCCAGTACTCCCAGTACGAGCACCTCCGGGACGCGCGGCAGCAGCACCCTCAGTAGCCGAAGAACCTCCAGCACCAGCAGCACGCCTCCAGCTCCGGGCAAACCACTCACGCAGCTCCTGTGGGGAGAGTGGCTCTCGGCGAGACGAGGCACCCGGAGAACCCCCAGGCGAAGAACCTCCAGTCTCAGCACCCTCAGGCTCAGTACCTCCACGCTCAGCACCCCCAGGCTCAGCACCCCCAGGCTCAGCACC